TTGGTGGGAGGGAGTATGGAAAAAGCTTATATGCTCAGATATTTGGGAGTTGACTTGTCAGCAGATGGGTTTATGAAGGATGAGGTTAACCACAGAATTGATGAAGGAAAAAATGTGAGTGGTGTTTTGAGGTTATTCATGGAGGCGAAGAAGGGAACATACGAGAGTATAGTAATACCAAAAATTTTATATGGGTATGAAGCATGGTTTGTATTGTAGCAAGGAGGAAGCTGGGGACAGTGGAGATGTCGTGTCTAAGGGCAATGTGTCGTGTAAATAGCATGCAGAGAATTCGTAGTGTGGAAATTAAGAGGAGGTGTGGAATTCCTAAAAGTACTAGTCAGGGGCCTGAAGAGAGGTTGTTGAGGTGGTTTGATCTTTTCAAGAAGATGGAGCATAGTAGAATGACTTGAGTGTATAAATCTGTAGGGGAAGGAAGACGTGTAGGGGTAGTCCTAGGAATGGTTGCAGGGAGGGGGTAAAGGAAGTTTTGTGGGCGAGGGGCTTGGACTTCCAGCAAGCGTGCGTATTAGAGCGTATTAGATAGGAATGAATGGAGACGAATAGTTTTTGGGACCTAACGAAACTGTTGGAGTGTGAACAGGGTAATTTTAGTGAAGGGATTCAAGGAAACCAGTTAGCCGGACTCAAGTCATGGAGGTGGGAAGTACAATGCCTGCCACTTTAAAGAGGAGGGTATGGGATATTGGCTGTTTGGAGGGGCATCTAAACTGTGGTATCTGAGCGACTCAACAAAGACAGTGATTGGATGACAATGAAAGTTTTTTCCATCTTTTGGGTTTTTCTTTCCTTTGGGTCACCTTTCCTGGGTGGGAAACGACCGATGTGTTATTATATATAATATATATTATATTATATATAATATATATTTTATTTATATATATATATATATATATATATATATATATATATATATATATATATATATCTTTCAACACATCGGCCGTATCCCACCGAGGCAGGGTGGCCCCAAAAGAAAACGAAAGTATTTCTTTTTAAATATAGTAATTTATACAGAAGAAAGGGTTACTAGCCCCTTGCTCCCGGAATTTTAGTCGCCTCTTACAACACGCATGGCTTATGGAGATAAGAGGAAATAAACAAGAACAAGAACTAGAAAGAAAATAGAAGAAAACCCAGAGGGGTGTGTATATATATGCTTGTACATGTATGTGTTGTGTGACCTAAGTGTAAGTAGAAGTAGCAAGATGTACCTGAAATCTTGTATGTTTATGAGACAAAAATGGACACCAGCAATCCTACCATCATGTAAAACAATAACAGGCTTTCGTTTTAGCACTCACTTGGCAGGACGGTAGTACCTCCCTGGGTGGTTGCGTTTACCAGCCTACTACCTAGGATATATATATATATATAGATTTTATATTTATATATATATATATATTATATAATGATATGAATATGATATATTTATGTATATATTATTATATATATATATATTTATTTTGTCTATATGTAGTATATATATATTATATTGTATATATGTATATATATTATATATATGTATATATGTATATATATATATAATGGTATATATGTATATATATATATATATATATGTATTATATGTATATATATATATGTAAATGTATAGTATATTATATATATATATATATGTATTATGGTATATATATATATATGATATGTAGTATAAATTATATATGTTAATGTATATTTTATGTATATGTATAATATATATGTATATATGTATAATAATATATATTATGTTATATGTAATATATATTATGTATATATGTATATATAATATGTATATGTATATATATATATTATATATATGTTAATGATATATGTATTATGTATATTATATATATTGTATATATGCTATATATGTATATTGTATATATTTTGTATATATGTTTATATATATATATATATGTATATATGTAGTATATATATATATATATATAATATGATATAGTATATTGTATTTTATTAGTATTTATATATATGTATATATGTATAATTTGATATATATTATATATATATAGTAATGATATATATATATATATTAATGTATATATGTATATATTTATATTAGATTGTATATAGTATATATATTTTATATATTATATATGTATATATATATATATATATATATTATATATATATATATATATATATTTGTATATATTATATATATATATAGTATATATAAGAATTGATATATATATATACAATCTGATATATATATATAAACTTATCATTGTTATTATTTAAGAATTATATAATTGTGCCAATCGTGATTATATGACGAACTTGTCTTTTAATATATTTATAGCAATACAGTTTTTATTTATAAAATATCCAATTATACAGAAACAGAGTTGTCATGGAATGTGTCAGCTGTTCTGATAGTGAGTGCAGCATCATGGATTTCCTGACAGTTGTCACAGGTTGAAGTTCTGAAAGTGTCAGCAACCTGAATGGTGTTGACAGTGATCGTCAGCACATGGTTTGTTGTTGACAGTGACTGTACATAGAAGTTGCAGTGACTCAGCGTAAGAGCCTTACTGAATGTCATAGCAATAAGTACTCTAACTTATAACCACTTTAAATAAACTTTGTTGTATTATATAGAGAGAGGTATATCTCTCAGTGTGCGTGTGTGTGTGTGTGTGTGTGTGTGTGTGTGTGTGTGTGTGTGTGTGTGTACGCTGAGAATTTCTTACTCTATATTTTAGGGACTCAAATATTCTTGACCTGTTGTGTAGAGCTACCAAGGAAACACGTTCACCATCACTCAGTCAATTGCTCTGTTTCTCTTAGTCAATTGCTCTCTTAACATCCTCATCTCTCCTTCAGTATGCTAGTACAACGATTCCCACACCCAGTATTTATGTCCGGAATCACTTCATAAATATTACCTTGCTCACACTACATCAGCACGTCAGATATCCCCTTCAACTCTAATATTCTCACACACACCTACTGGACACTCAAGCCCTTACCGCTCAAAATCTTCACACCCTCCCTGTAGCCTGAGTTAGCCCCTACATTTCCTTTCCCCTATCCTGGATTTCTACACCTCTGGGTCAACCTATTCTCAGTCATCCTTTATCAGTGACCAAACCATCTCAACAAGGCCTCACACCTCTCAGTTATATCCTTCATATCCTCCACCGTCTTTTAATTCCTCTGCATAATTTTCAAGCCATACATGTCTCTCGGTCATGATATCTCCACTGCCTCAGCCCCTTTCTTCGTTGCAACATTTTAAACTTCTCACCCATAGTGCTGGCACTACTATGTCTGGTGCTGTAATGTTTTTGCCTCCAGAGATAAACTTTTCTTCCTACAGTTGCCTCAACACACTATCCACCTGTTTTTCCTGCTCTTCTGTTATTAGGTTCAACTCGTGTTTCATAGACCCATCTGCTAACATGTCCACCTATATCTAAATACTTCTGAGTGACCAGTCTGATGTCCGAAGTCTTATTGCCCACTATTTTTTTATCCTCATTGCCTTGCTTTCTTTTTGCTTTAATTTTCTTTTACAAACACTCCCAATATCATCCACCAACCTTTGCAAACTTCTTTTCAGAATCTCACAAAAACACAGTATCATCAGCGAAGAGCAAGTGTGACAGCTCTCACTTTGTGTCACATTCTTTATCTTTCAATTCCACACCTCTCTCCCAACACCCAGCGTTCACACCTCTCCCCAACACCACAGCGTTCACACCTCTTCCCAACACCACAGCGTTCACACCTCTTCCCCAACACCCCAGCGTTCACACCTCTCCCCAACACCATCAGCGTTCACACCTCTCCCCAACACCCCAGCGTTCACACCTCTTCCCAACACCTACAGGTTCACACCCTCCCCAACACCCAGCGTTCACACCTCTCCCCAACACCCCAGCGTTCACACCCTTCCCCAACACCACAGCGTTCACACCTCTCTTCAACACCCTAGCGTTCACACCTCTCTTCAACACCCTAGCGTTCACACCCTTCCTCAACACCTCAGCGTTCACACCTCTTCCCAACACCACAGCGTTCACACCTCTTCCCAACACCACAGCGTTCACACCTCTTCCCAACACCACAGCGTTCACACCTCTTCCCAACACCACAGCGTTCACACCCTTCTCCAACACCTCAGCGTTCACACCTCTCCCCAACATCCTAGCATTCACATCTCTCTTCAACACCCTAGCATTCACACCCTCGCATTCACACCCTCAACACCTCAGCGTTCACACCTCTTCCCAACACCTCAGCGTTCACACCTTTACCCAAGACCTCAGCGTTCACACCTCTCCCCAACACCCTAGCATTCACACCCTCAACACCTCAGCGTTCACACCTCTTCCCAACACCTCAGCGTTCACACCTTTACCCAAGACCTCAGCGTTCACACCTCTCCCAACACCCAGCGTTCACACCTGGTTCACACCTCTTCAACACCCCTAGCGTTCACACCCTTCCTCAACACCACAGCGTTCACACCTCTCCCGAAAACCACCAGCGTTCACTGCTCAACTATAAGTATGTTAAAACACCATGGTTTAACACATCCTTGTGAGAGGCCTACTTGTGAGAGGCCTACTTGTCAGAGGCCTACTTGACAGAGGCACTACTTGTCAGAGGCCACTTGTAAGACCTACTTCAAATTAAAATAATTCCTCTTCCTAAGTACCGCACTTGAACTCTCTTCCCCCCATTAAAAAAAATATTAACAAGTCTGTTCACACTACTTCTAAACCACACTTCCACTCGTTTCCCAACCCTTTGCAAAAATGTTCATGTATATAACTAAGTTTCCTTCGTGTGGTCCAAATTATTCGAACTTATTCGCCAATCCTAATTCACCCCGTTCCCTGCACGCTCACAATTACGTCGTATAAGATCCACAATCGGGCTGGAATCGATCTCTTTGCCCACTCGGCTGACTTGGAAAATCCATTATTAAGACATCATTGTTGTGGTGCAACATGCGGCTTCCCGTTATAATTTCCAATGTTGGTGTTTCAGCCCCAAAGCACACGGGAGCGCTTCACACGGAGGTCGTCCCACGGAGGCGCTCACACGGAGGCGCTCACAACGGGAGCTCTCCACGGGAGGCGCTCACGGGAGGCGCTCACACGGAGCGCTCCCAAAACGGAGGTGCTCACACGGACGCGTTTCACACGCAAACGTTCAACAAGCGAGGCGCTTACCTGCGAGATGCCCTCACGTGCGAGCACTCACAACACCACCACTCACACACGACGCCTCACACACGACTCACACACACAGACACTCTCACACACGACCACACTCACAACGTACTCCAACACGACGCACTTAACACAAGCACTCATACGCACTACCATGACGCACAGCACGACCTCATCCCAACATCTCACACACGACGCACTCCACATGACGCTACACGACGCACTCCAACACTCAGCTTCAACTGCTTCCAAGTCTACAGCGATTCACACCTCTTCCCAACACCTAGCATTCAACCACTATTAACACCTAGCATTCACACCCTCAACAACCTCAGCGTTCAACCTCTTCCCAAACCTCAGCGTTCACACTCTTCCCAACACCTCAGCGTTCACAACCTTCCCAAGACCTCACTTCACACTCTCCCCAACACCCTAGCGTTCACACCCCTCTTCAACACCCTAGCGTTCACAACCCTTTCCCCAACACCTCAGCGTTTTAAACCCTTTTCCCCAAAACCACGCGTTCACACCCCTTCCCAACACCTCAGCGTTCACACTCTTCCCAAACCCCAAACTTCCCACCTCTTCCAACACCTCAGCGTTCACACCTCTTCCCCAACACCACAGCGTTCACACCTCTTCCCAACACCTCAGCGTTCACACCTCTTCCCAAGACCACAGCGTTCACACCTCTTCCCAACACCTCAGCGTTCACACCTCTTCCCAAGACCACAGCGTTCACACCTCTTCCCAACACCCTAGCATTCACACCTCTCTTCAACACCCTAGCATTCACACCCTCAACACCTCAGCGTTCACACCTCTTCCCAACACCTCAGCGTTTACACCCCTTCCCAACACCCGCGTTCCACCCCTTCCCAAAACCCCAGCGTTTCCAAAACCCTTCCCCAAAACCCTACATTCACACCTCTCTCAACACCCTGCATTACACCCTCAACACCTCAGCGTACACCTCTTCCCAACACCCCACGTTCACACCTTTCCCAAAACCTCAGCGTTCACACCTCTCCCCCAACACCCTAGGTTCACACCTCTTCAACACCTAGCGTTTACAAAACCCCTTCCCCAAAACCTCAGCTTTACACCCTTTCCCCAAAACCCCACGCACACCTCCCCGAAAACCACCCGCGTTCATGCTTTAACAACTCAACTATAAGTATTTAAAACACCATGGTTTAAACACCCCGGAGAGGCCTACTTTTGGAGGGCCCACTTGTCAAGCCTACTTGTCAAGGCCTACTTTCAGAGTACTTGTCAAGGCCTACTTGTCAGAGGCCTACTTGTCAAGGCCACTTGTCAGAGGCCTATTGAAGACCACTTCAAAAATAAAAAAAATTTTCCCTTTTTCCTACGTACCCCCCCCCAACTTGAAATTCTCTTCCCCCTTAAAAAAAATATAAAAATCTGTTTTCCCACTTTTAATACCCCACCCCTGTTTTCAATCCCTTTTCAAAAATTTATGATGTAATAATTTCTTCGTGTGGTCCAAATTTTTTCGATATTTCCCCCTTTTAACCCGCCGTTTCCCTGACGTCCAATACGTCGAAAGATCCCCAATCGGGGGGGGGGGGGTGGGGGAAACGTATCTCATTTTTCCCATCGGCTGACTGGAAAAAACCATTTTATGACATCATTTTGTTGGTGCCAAATGAGCTGTTTTTTAAAATTTTCCCAAATTTGGGGTTTTAGCGCCCCGAAGACACGGGCGCTCACACGGAGGCGTCAACGGGAGGCGCTCACACGGGAGGCGCTCACACGGGAGGCGCTCACACGGGAGGCGCTCACACGGGAGGCGCTCACACGGGAGGCGCTCACACGGGAGGCGTTCACACGCAAAACGTTCACAAGCGAGGCGCTTACATGCGAGATGCTCACGTGCGAGGCACTCACACACGACGCACTCACACACGACGCACTCACACACGACGCACTCACACACGACGCACTCACACACGACGCACACACACATGACGCACTCACACACGAAGCACACACAACGTACTCACACACGACGCACTAACACGAAGCACTCATGACGCACTTACACATGACGCACACACGACTCACTCACACATGACGCACACACGACGCACTCACACATGACGCACACACGACGCACTCACACACTCAGCTTCTGAAGGGTTGATGTCTGAGTCTATCAGAATATATTAACCTCACCTTAACTATTCTTCCAATAATAATAATAATATAATAATAATAATAATAATACCCAGAGTGAAACTATAGTTTCACTCCCATGTTGGTATGAATTATAAAATATCTACCAGACAGATTTTACAAACCATTTGTTACACAATTTAAGTGCACAATTATGTATATTCGGTAGTACGAACACTTGTGTACACCTTGTGTACACTCAGTAGTACGAACACTTGTGTACACCTTGTGTACACTCGGTAGTACGAACACTTGTGTACACCTTGTGTACACTCGGTAGTACGAACACTTGTGTACACCTTGTGTACACTCGGTAGTACGAACACTTGTGTACACCTTGTGTACACTCAGTAGTACGAACACTTGTGTACACCTTGTGTACACTCGGTAGTACGAACACTTGTGTACACCTTGTGTACACTCGGTAGTACGAACACTTGTGTACACCTTGTGTACACTCAGTAGTACGAACACTTGTGTACACCTTGTGTACACTCGGTAGTACGAACACTTGTGTACACCTTGTGTACACTCGGTAGTACGAACACTTGTGTACACCTTGTGTACACTCGGTAGTACGAACACTTGTGTACACCTTGTGTACACTCGGTAGTACGAACACTTGTGTACACCTTGTGTACACTCGGTAGTACGAACACTTGTGTACACCTTGTGTACACTCGGTAGTACGAAACACTTGTGTACACCTTGTGTACACTCGGTAGTACGAACACTTGTGTACACCTTGTGTACACTCGGTAGTTCGAACACTTGTGTACACCTTGTGTACACTCGGTAGTACGAACACTTGTGTACACCTTGTGTACACTCGGTAGTACGAACACTTGTGTACACCTTGTGTACACTCAGTACGAACACTTGCGTACACCTTGTGTACACTCGGTAGTACGAACACTTGTGTACACCTTGTGTGCACTCAGTAGTACGAACACTTGTGTACACCTTGTGTACACTCAGTAGTACGAACACTTGTGTACACTTTGTGTACACTCAGTAGTACGAACACTTGTGTACACCTTGTGTACACTCAGTAGTACGAACACTTGTGTACACCTTGTGTGCACTCAGTAGTACGAACACTTGTGTACACCTTGTGTACACTCAGTAGTACGAGCACTTGTGTACACCTTGTGTACACTCAGTACGAACACTTGTGTACACCTTGTGTACACTCGGTAGTACGAACACTTGTGTACACCTTGTGTGCACTCAGTAGTACGAACACTTGTGTACACCTTGTGTACACTCAGTAGTACGAACACTTGTGTACACCTTGTGTACACTCAGTACGAACACTTGTGTACACCTTGTGTACACTCGGTAGTACGAACACTTGTGTACACCTTGTGTGCACTCAGTAGTACGAACACTTGTGTACACCTTGTGTACACTCAGTAGTACGAACACTTGTGTACACTTTGTGTACACCTTGTGTACACTCGGTAGTACGAACACTTGTGTACACCTTGTGTGCACTCAGTACGAACACTTGTGTACACCTTGTTTTACACTCGGTAGTACGAACACTTGTGTACACCTTGTGTACACTCAGTAGTACGAACACTTGTGTACACCTTGTGTACACTCGGTAGTACGAACACTTGTGTACACCTTGTGTACACTCGGTAGTACGAACACTTGTGTACACCTTGTGTACACTCGGTAGTACGAACACTTGTGTACACCTTGTGTACACTCAGTAGTACGAACACTTGTGTACACCTTGTGTACACTCGGTAGTACGAACACTTGTGTACACCTTGTGTACACTCGGTAGTACGAACACTTGTGTACACCTTGTGTACACTCGGTAGTACGAACACTTGTGTACACCTTGTGTACACTCGGTAGTACGAACACTTGTGTACACCTTGTGTACACTCGGTAGTACGAACACTTGTGTACACCTTGTGTACACTCGGTAGTACGAACACTTGTGTACACCTTGTGTACACTCGGTAGTACGAACACTACATATATCAAAATTTTACTGATAAACGGAATTTCCAGAAAATAGAAAATACTTGAAAACTTTCAATTTTTTTAAAAACTTCAAAAATCGCGAAAAAAATAAAAAAAAAATGCGAAGAATCTCAAAGCTGTGAAAAAAGTTAAAAAAAAAAAATAAAACAAAACTATCAAAAATAAAAAAAAATATCAAAAAAAGTGAAGAGTT